AAGCTCAGCGCCTTTTAAGCCGAGGAAAGGCTGGGTGCCAAGCTCTGCTTTGGAGGTCCTTGGATGGAGGCCAGGTTTTAGTGTAGATTCTCTCTTGCCAATTCAAGCAGGCACTGCACAAAATTGCATTTACAGCCACAGATGAAAAGGACAGATGAACAGAGGCTAACCAAGTCCCATTGATGGGTCAACCTGACCCTACCTGTGCAGGACAGCCATATCCTCCCATGAAAGTCACTTCCCTACCTTCCTTTTCAGCGATATCAGCGGTGGGCTGCTGGGGGTTCGCAGGGGTTCGAGAGAACCTCTAGCTAAGATTCTGTGCAGTCTGGAGAACCCCCAAATCCCACTCCTGGCTGGCTCCGCCCCGCCCACCCCACCCTCCCAGGAGTCCCCACATAGCCAATTTTGGATGCAGATAAGTGCAGGGTGCACAAGGAGGCTCGGGGAGGGCAAAAAACGGGTCTACCGGAAGTTCAGGAAGGTTAGTTTCTGGCCTCCAGAGGGCCTCTGGAGCCTGTGGAGACCATTTTCGCCCTCCCGGAGGCTCAAAAAAAGCCTCTGGAGCCCGGGGAGGGCAAAAACAGCCCCCCCCACCCCCGCCATGGTGCAGGAGGCTGACTAGGCCACGTCCAGCATGGCCACGCCCACCCAGCAACCGGGCAGAGAACCCCTTGCTAAAATTTTTGAAACCTACCCCTGAGCGATATGTTATTAAGTAGACGCCACTTGTGCAAATAACTTGATGCTATGAGAGTGGTGTGCCGAGATATCAGTTAGAAATGACATTCTCCTCTCCCCTCTGTTTTCGAGGATAACAAATTACTGCTCAGAAATTAACACTGTTTTTTAATGACTGGAAAGCATTTGAAGATGCTATCCACAAAATGCAGTATCCAAGTATTTCAGATAAATCGGTCGTCTCTCTTTCATTCTCTATTGAGGGACTGGCTGTCCTGTACAGGGTGGATTTGATTTAAATCGAGTTGATTTAAATCACAATTTAAATCATGATTTAAATCACTAGTAAAAAGGCTTGATTTAAATCAACTCGATTTAAATCATAATTTTTAAAGAGCAACTGTCATCTCTGCTACTCCTTTGACCCACTGTTGACTCACCGATAGTCCCAGGGTTGCAGAATATACAGCCTCATGCTACATAACTAAGCTCCATTTTATGCTGAATAAACTAAATTATTTATGTATCTTAAATAGAAAACTATCTTACGATAGATTTTTACCCCAAAAGTTTTTTATTAAAATAAATTCGATAAAAATCAAAAAAATCCGATTTAAATCAAAAAAATCCGATTTAAATCAAAAAAATCCGATTTAAATCAAAAAAATCATTGATTTTTATCCACCCTGCTCCTGTATCAACCTCCTGCAAAGGGGAATTTTCCAGAGGCGATAGAAGTGATAGACAGCAATAGTTGGAGATAATTCCAAAATATCTTCGGAACAATTGTTATGATAACAAAGCAGAGCTTCCCCTGATTTCTGATCAATTGCCGTAGTTCAGAGATTGAAAAGAGGTGGAATTGACAGACTAAATCAGGGGTCTCCAAACTTGGCAACTTTAAGACTTGTGGACTTCAATTCCCAGAATTCCTCAGCTGGCAAAGTTTTGCTGGCTGAGGAATTCTGGGAGTTGGAGTCCACAAGTCTTAAAGTTGCCAAGTTTGGAAACACCTGGATTAAATTGACAGTTTCTCAACTGTGGCTGCTTTCAGATGGGTAGGCTTCAACTCACAGAATTCCTTAGCCAGCAAATTGGGCATTTCCCAGATTAACAAATAAACAGAGTTTGGAAGGGACCTTGGAGGTCTTCTAGTCCAACCCCCTGCTCAAGCAGGAAACCCTATACCATTTCAGACAAATGGTTATCCAATCTCCTCTTAAAATCCTCCAGTGTTGAAGCACTCTAAACTTCTGGAAGAAAATCATTTCATTGATTAATTGTTCTATCAGGAAATTTCTCCTCAATTCTAGGTTGGTTCTCTCCTTGATTACTTTCCATCCATTGCTTCTTGTCTTGCCATCACCTGGTGCTTTGGAAAATAGGTTGACCCTCTCTTCTTTGTGGCAGCCCCTGAGATATTGGAACACTGTATACCCAGTTCCTGCAACTGTTCTTCATATGTTTTAGTCACCACTCCCCTAATCATCTTTGTTAAAGTCACATTGTAATCCAGGACTATGAAGATAATACTTAAGGTAAATGTGGTTCTTCTTGAAAAGGCCACTAAATATCGGTTTCAAAAGAGGTCTGACACCAATCCTGTGCACATCAGAAGTCAGCGTGATGCCCAAGCTGTCAGCACTTCAAGCTGCATTTACTCTAGCGCTGACATAAGAAGGAGAAGCGGAGGCATCTGGAAAGGGATGTTTGACTTTTCACTTACTTATTTTCCATGGAGATAATATCCCCTAGGAGATGGGATGGGAGGGGGGAAATTCCTTTGAGCTGGAGCAGTAGATTAGGGGTAGAGTGACTTGGAAGATGGCCAATGAGTACAGGGGAGTGAGGAACGGAAAGGGAGGGTTTGGGATCTGGAAGTCAGTGTTGGCTGCGATGAGTCGGAGTTAGAATGTCGTGCTTAATAAATGGGAGTTTTTCTTCAAAGACTTTGTTTGAAATGTAATTTATTTGAGACGACCTCGAAACCTGACACAAGCCATGTTTGGCAAAATACTGGTCAGACATTCACCAGGGGGTTGCCACCATAAAACCAGAAGCCTAACTCCTTTTGCAGGTCAAGCCAACATGGTCTGGAAGATGATGTCCAGCAACTGGAGCCCAATAGCATGCCTTAGCAGCCAACAATGGCCAGTAGGAACTGGGCAGTTCCCAAAAACCCAATTGGATTATTCCAACATTGTCAAAGACTTTTCACATTGGGTTACCATCACTCGTACACCAAGCCTCGTGTTGGGATGCAAGGCAGTGTTAAAACTGAAACAGCCAAGGAGGAATTTTGTTATGCTATGAAGAGATGTTTTCTAGGGGAAAAAATTTAGAAAAACACTTTATGGTCACAGTTAGTCAGGTGTGAAGAGCACCCTAAGCACTGACATGAGCCAGCATGCAAATCTGTTTATTAATGATTATATAATGAAACTGCCTTAAACCGAATGAGACTTGTGATACATTTAGCTCAGTGTTTTGTATCGTTGGCATCGTGACAGTTTTAGCATAGAAAGACACGGGAGGGCTGCATTGACAGGTTTGGAGAAAATGCCATGTACTATAGGTTGGCAAGGTAGCAAGACTGTTTCCTTGATTATTATTATTTTTTAATTAGGCTTGTTTAGAGCTGTTTGGTTTAAATTACCAACTGGGAAGACCCCTTCTCCTGCTTCCTGGTTCTAAGCCTGTTAGGAAGTTTAAAAATTGGAAAAGTGATGATTGTTGCTTTACTTTAAGGTCACCAAAATTTAGTGCTTCTAACTCTAAGCCAGGCTTCTGCAACCTTAAATACTCAAAGAGCCATTTGGACCCGTTTCCCACAGAAAAGAAAACACCGGGAGCCACAAAACCCTTCCTGTGCCTGACTATTTCTTGAGTGGCCACAAAACTAGCATACGTAGTTGAATTAAACATTCTGTTTTCTTCTGAGACTTTTTTTTTCTTGGATTTATCCATGGTTGGCCTACCGGGGGTTGAAAAGCTCAATAAATCACATGCCAGCGGGTATTGCACATTGGCAGTTGTGACACATATTTTGAGTGACAGGGAGCCACAGCAGAGGGGTGAAAGAGCCACATGCGGCTCCAGAGCCGCAGGTTGCTGACCCCTGCTCTAAGCAGATTTCGTTGTGATGAATGGGACTTTGCTAGTTCCTGACCCAGTGCGTTGTTATAGATTGATCTTACTCAACTTGGCAACTTTAAGAGATGTGAATTTCAACTCTTACAGATTCCCATGCTGGCTGAGGAATTTTGAGGAGATATGGACTTCAACTGAGGAGTTGAAGTCCACATCTCTTCAAGTTCCCAAGTTTGAGAAACAACTGTGGTAAATCAAAAAAATAATAATAATTTAAAGAAAGATACAGAACAAATGATTTCTTCTTCTTTACACCAATCAGACAGCTCAACTTGCCGTCATTTCTTTTGAAATAGTTCTGCAAGTCTCCATAAGAAGTGGTTAGAGTCACCTATTTAAAATAGCCTGAAAAATTAAAAAGAACAAATCAACGAAAGGAAACTGACTGAGTTTTAAAAATATTTAACTTGTTAAAAGCTCAAAATATCATGGGAACCAATTCTCTTTTGAAGCTATCTAGTTGGCGACCATTGCAACATTACAAGCCATGTGCTTTTTCAAGTATGAAAAATTTGTCTTCCTCCCTCCCTCCCTCTCTCTCTCTCTTCCCCCCTCTGATTTAAATCATTTTAAGAACTGGGGCAGTGTGGGAATAACAGATTAAAAAGTGACAGCGTTCAAGTCCTTTTAGAAACCTGGCCAAACCCATACCACAAAAAACAAACAAACAAATAAAGGAGAAATGTTTAGATAGCTTCACACCATATCTACAGAAGAGGAAAAAAAATATATCACAACCCCACAATGACAACTTGCTGGACGGTGGGTAGATTATGGGCTTCTCTTCCACCAAAGCAAGGCCACTAAAGAAGAAAAGAGGGAAGGGACTACAAACCCCTTTGACTGAAAGAAAGGCAATTCTCTGAATTTCATAAGTTGCCAATTCGGTCCCATGTTGCAGTAGACTGAGCTGATCATCATGGAGGATATGTGGTCCCGGTAAACCCTTTTTTGGCACCTTTCATTTTTAAACGCTGGATTTAAGCTTACATTCTCTTAACCCCTGGGTCTCTTTCTTCGTAATCAGCAAACATGCATAAATCGTAATCCACCGGGAACCGGACAATTTTTACATAATCAGACCACTAGCGAAAGGACATCTTGATAAGCTTTTGCGCAACCTGTTTCAACAGGAATGTTACAGGGATCATGATGTTTTATCTTTCCAGCTCAACGGACTAGCCCTAAGCCCTTCCAAATCCAAGGTGAAGCTGAGGACGTGTAACCCTTGATCTCGTCATGGGGCTGAGGACAGCCAGAGTCCAAAATACCAGGAAGCTTTAGAAGCATACAAGGTGAGAGCTCACATACACAGAGAGAGAGAGATCTGGAAAACTTTTCGAGGCCCCTCTTAGCCCTGAAATGCCTTCCCAAGCTATTAATAACGCTGCTTTTCTTAGTATATACCCTGAAAGTGGCTTCTAGCTAAATTATTGCCAGACGTGGAATAATATTACAGTAGGCCCCAGGGGTGAAATCCAGCAGGTTCTGACAGGTTCTGGAGACCCGGTAGCGGAAATTTTGAGCAGTTCAGAGAACCGGAAAATACCACCTCTGGCTGGCCCCAGAGTGGGGTGGGAATGGAGATTTTGCAATATCCTTCCCCCAGGAGTGGGGAGGGAATGGGGACTTTGCAGTATCCTTCCCCCAGGAGTGGGGAGGGAATGGGGATTTTGCAGTATCCTTCCCCTGGAGTGGGGTGGGAATGGAGATTTTGCAGTATCCTTCCCCTGGAGTGGGGGGGGGAATGGGGATTTGGCAATATCCTTCCCCCAGGAGTGGGGAAAGAATGGGGATTTTGCAGTGTCCTTCCCCTGGAGTGGGGAGGGAATGGAGATTTTGCAGTATCCTTCCCCTGGAATGGAGTGAGAATGGAGATTTTGCAATATCCTTCCCCCAGGAGTGAGGAGGGAATGGGGATTTTGCAGTATCCTTCCCGCAGGAGTGGGGAGGGAATGGGGATTTTGCGGTATCCTTGCCCCAGGAGTGGGGTGGGAATGGAGATTTTTCAATATCCTTTCCCCAGGAGTGGGGGGGGGATGGGGATTTTGCAGTATCTGACTGTTGAGGTAGTCCTCGACTTACGACTGCAATAGAGTCCAATGTTTCCATTGCTAAGCAACATAGTTCTTTAAGTGAGTTTTGCCCCGTTTTACAACCCTTCCTTGCCAGAGTTGTTAACGTTGTAGGAGTTAAAGTAGTAACCCGTTTGTTAAGTGAATCTGGTTTTCCCCCCATTGACTTTGCTTGTCAGAAGGTCACAAAAGGAGATCCCGTGACCCCTGGGACACTGCAACCGTCATAAATATGAATCAGTTGTGTTTGGATCACGTGACCATGGGGATGCTGCGATGGTCATAAGTGTGAAAAATGGTCATAAGTCTCTTTTTCCCCCAATGCCATTGTAACGGTCACTAAATGAACTGTCATAAGTCAAGGACCACCTGTAATTTCTTGGGACTTCCTCCTTCCTTGTTTTAAAGGTAGCATTGCTCTGACTGTCCATTTTTTTTCAAAGCCCCCAATGGCACTTTTTTCAGTGCCGTGGTAACTTTGAAAGACCATTAAATGAATCATTCTTAGGACTATCTGTAGTCCAGATGGTGCAGAGGTACCTTAGAATAACAGAGTTGGAAGGGACCTTGGAGGTCTTCTAGTCCAACCCCCTGCTTAGGCAGGAAACCCTACACCACTTCAGACAAATGGTAATCCAACATCTTCTTAAAAACTTCCAGTGTTGGAGCATTCACAACTTCTGGAGGCAAGTTGTCCCACTGATTCATTGTTCTAACTGTCAGGAAATTTCTCCTTCGTTTTAGGTTGCTTCTCTCCTTCATTAGTTCCCATCCATTTCTTCCTTCCTGCCTTCAGGTGCTTTAGAGAATAGCTTGACTCCCTCTTCTTTGAGGCAACCCCTGAGATATTGGAAGACTGCTATCATGTCTCCCTTAGTCCTTCTTTTCATTAAACTAGACATACCCAGTTCCTGCAACTGTTCTTCATATGTTTTAGCCTCCAGCCCCCTAATCCTCTTTGTTGCTCTTCTCTGCACTCTTTCTAGAGTCTCTACATCTTTTTTATATCTTGTTATATATATCCACATCTTCGTGATATCTATGGAGGTTCTCAGTCATCCAGGTCATGGTTGTCCCAAAGGTGCTTTTTCAAGAGGCAACTGGACTTTTCTGGTTTTTTTCTTTGAAGACGTTTCGCTTATCATCCAAGAAGCTTCTTCAGCTCTGTGTGAAAATGAATCTGTCTTATTCTTTCATTGAGGAATTGGAGCTGTGCTTTCTGCAGGATGTTTTCTGCTTTATTGTTGAGCACAGACCCAGGCTGTTGGGGATGATTCTGTCCTGTCTGCATCTCAAACTGAAGCGCAAATGGTTCCTGTAGCCTGCAATTTTTCTGGAAATCCGTTCATATTCCCTCACTGTTCGAAAGGAGTTCATCCCAAAGGGCCTCGCTAAATATCTACGGAGATTCTCAATCATCTAAGTCATGGTTGTCCCCAAAGGTGCTTTTTCAAGAGGCACCTGGACTTTCTGGGGTGGGGGAGTTTGAAGATGTTTCGCTTCTCATCCAAGAAGCTTCTTCACTCAGAGCTAAAGAAGCTTCTTGGATGAGAAGCGAAACGTCTTAAAAAAAAAACCAGGAAGTCCACTTGTCTCTTGAAAAAGCACCTTTGGGACTACTTTCTTGCTAGGTATCCTTCAGACAAGCAGGCCCAGACAATTGGTACAGACTCGGCATTATCTCCTCAGAACATATTCTTTAATGACCATTCCCAGCAGTCCCACCTGTCTTGAATGCTGAAGGATCTTGGGAGTTGTAGTTCAACAGCCTCAGAGGAACCAGAAGTTCCTCATAAGTTCTTTGTGACACCAAGCCGGCATGGCCTGTAGTGTAAGAATGGGCAATCCTTTGGTGGCTGGAGCTGTCTCGTTGTTTCTTCTTCTTCTTCTTCTTCTTCTTCTTCTTCTTCTTCTTCTTCTTCCTCTTCCTCTTCCTCTTCCTCTTCCTCTTCCTCTTCCTCTTCCTTCTCCTTCTCCTTCTCCTTCTCCTTCTTCCTCTTCCTCTTCTTCTTCTCCTTCTTCTTCTTCTCCTCCTCCTCCTCCTCCTCCTCCTCCTCCTTCTTCTTCTCCTTCTCCTTTTCCTTCTCCTTCTCCTTCTCCTTCTCCTTCTCCTTCTTCCTCTTCTCCTCCTCCTCCTCCTCCTCCTCCTCCTCCTCCTCCTCCTCCTCCTCCTTCTTCTTCTTCCATTTGACAATGATATATCAGCAATGTGAGGCAATACTTGGAGCTCTGTTCAACATGAGCCCAAGAAAAGACGTGTAAGAGAAGACCACAAAGTATTCATTCAGTCTATGCATATAATTCATATCCTGTCAAAGGCACAAATCATCCTGAAATGTATAAAGGCACAGTACCTTCACGGCTGTCCTAACATCTTCTGATGGTGCGTCCCTATCCAGAAATAGTTTCCATCTATTCTGTCCTCCTTATTTCTTTCCTCAAAGCCCTGAATACCACCATCTCATATGACAATGAATTCTGTGTTGCATTGTCTGAGGAAGAACAATGTAGGCTGGTGACCCCCAGGGGGAGGGCCTTCTCTGTGGGGGCACCTACCCTCTGGAACCAGCTTCCCCCTGAGATAAGGAGAATCCAAGACCTCGGTGCCTTCCGCCGTGCCCTTAAAACTTTCTTTTTTCAGCAAGCCGGGCTGGCTTAATATATTTTTTAAATATTTTTAATTGATTTGTTATTTTAAATTGAGGCCAAATTAATATATATCTTTTTAATTGTTTTTAATGTTTGTATTGTATGTTTTTTATCTGGCTGTACACCACCCTGAGTCCCTCGGGAGAAGGTGCGGTATATAAATTCAAAATAAAATAAAATAAAATAAAATAAACTTGCCAACAGGTTCTACAGGTAATCCTTGAATTATGACCATAATTGAACCTGCCCATTACAGGTTGTAAGTCATGATGGACATAAAACAGGTCACCCATGATTGATTTTTGTGACCTTTTTTGCAGCTGTTGTTAAATGAACACCAAAGTCATTGAGTGAAGCCATTATTCACTATGGGGTGTTTTTGCCAGAAACCAGAAGTAAACAACATGTTTCAGCAAAAAGGTCATAAATTGTGATCATGTGACTGCTGGATGCTTCAAACAGCCTTAAATCTGGGCTGATTGATGAGCGACCAAAATATGGTCATGTGACCGTGGAGGAGGAGGCCGTCAGAATTTAGGAACTGTGTCTTTGGGGGGGATCCATTGTAAGTGACTGGTCATAAATAGAGGACTACCTGTGGCATTGATAGAAGACCTCCAAGGTCCCTTCCAGATTCTGTTCTGATTCTGACCACAGAACATCTCTTTATAGACCATTCTCAATTTTGTGTGGTTTTTATCATTTCCTTAACATCTATAGTTTTCTTTCTTTCTTTCTTTCTTTTTCTTTCTTTCTTTCTTTCTTTCTTTCTTTCTTTCTTTCTTTCTTTCTTTCTTTCTTTCTTCTTCTCTCTCTTCTCTCTCTCTCTCTCTCTCTCTCTCTCTCTCTCTCTCTCTCTCTCTCTCTTTCTTTCTTTCTTTCTTTCTTTCTCTGGACTGCCTAAAAGTTTGTTACCTGTTTCTCATTACGCGATTTCCTGATCTCCTGATCCAGTTTCCATTTTATATTCACTGCCGGCTATTGCCCTGAAGCTATACCAATTTAACTGACACCTAAACAACAACAAAATTAACCATAGAGAAACTGGTTCTCTGAGGTTGTACAAATGGATTTATCTAAGAATCCAAGGCACAGAGTTTTTCCAAAGAGCTTGGCCGCTATCTTCAACCATTTAATCAGAACATTCTGCTTTTAAAAATAAAAAAAATAAAAAAATTAAAAACCGAACTAGGGAAAAGCTGTTTATTTTTCTAAAGGCCAAACTGAACACACAACAGAAAAAGATAACAATTGAAAATCGAAAAGAATCCAGTTTGTTTCCTGGTGTGCAAAATGTAAGGAAGCAAATGGTGATATTTGAGAACCTTCTCCAAATAAGATTTTCCACTGTAAAGTATATGTACTAAATCGCAGCCAAATTCTTTTCTTGACAAAGGGATCTGTTGTATAAACACTGGCCTTTTTAAAAAGACTTCAGCAAAAGGTTACCCTCTAGTTTGATAAGCCTTCCATTCAAAACAAAACAAAAGGGGACATTTTTAGAAATGAAATTAATCTCGCTTTAAAGAGGTTTTAAACTGGGTGGTTGTGTTATTGATGGTACATATGGC